GAACTTCAGTCCACTATATGACTCATATCCCAATTCTTGAAGATGATTCGCATCCTGGAAACTATCGGCATAGACCAATGTGCCGTCGCACATATTCTATCAGAGCACATTATTCTTTCACTGTGCACACCACATGCACTTAGACTGTACTAAGCGTGAATGGGGAGCGTGCGGCGAGGACTGGTCCTGCTGCCGTGTCGGGATTGTTTTAGAAAATAGCAAATTCTTAGCGTTCAGAATGTTAAATCGTTTCGTTCAAGTTACTCAAATTCCAAAACAAGTATCAGCAAGATAAAAGAAAATCTGCTCCTTGTTATGCAAACTATTCTTTATAATTCAGGTGGACAACGTCATCTAGGTGCGTATGGAATTCTCTATCAAGAAGAAAGAAATTTTCAAGGTGTAGCATCTGACTACGGAGCAAGGTGGGCATTCCTAAATGCCCCTGAAGAAGATAGGAAACTTTATGAGGTATGATTGTATGATGGAAAGAACGCGGAGATGTGTCTATTTATAGACGGAGCGATACTATGAAGGCGAACTCAGATATGTTTTTGACATTCTTCAAGATGGAGATTATGTGATCATCTTGAAATTTTCTGAAGTTTATTTTGAGAAACCTGGAGGAAAGGTAGCATTCAACATTTTGCTTATCTAAAAAAGTATTGTTTAATATTGGAGGTATTTCACGTAAACATCAACGATATTCCGGTAAAAAGAAACCTGGATATTTTTCAAGAGGCTGGTGCGACAGGTGTAGCATATGATCTGTGAGTGATCTACACAACACCAAAAATATGGTACCGTATTCAAACTTTTTGCAGATATGTGGACATATCGGTTCATAAACGGGAACTCATAATTGGAGATATAATAGGCGACATCGATGGCAAACTTCAAATACGGTTAACACCGGTAAAGAAAATCACCTGATAGACTATTGGAACCAAAAATAGCTCACTTCAGGTTGTGGATAATCCAAAAATAAATGCCATAGCTATTCTAACAGGTAAATCTAACACGCTTCCCCCACCACCACCACCTGTTCAGTCACAGGAGGATACTTGGGTACAGGTAATTGTTGTTATTTTATCCCATTTGACATATCGGACAGCCTGCTACACCAACACAGTGCAGGTTATTTATGTTCCTATGATTGATCCATATCGATTGCTGCCCGCGTTCCCAGGTGCCAGTTCCAGTGAACACTTTTTGCCTATAGTTCTGCTTTATAGCATCAGTATTTGCGCCTTTTCAGCGCAGACGTTCA